CAAATTTAAACCAACCTAGAGGTTAAAGTTTCACAAAATCCATTTTGGAGCACGGTGTGCAGCAGAAACTAACAAAGGTGGACGAGACTTTGGTAACATAAAAAAACTCAAATCTTCACTTTAATGACTTTTTCCTACTTTATTATTCTGAGTCTCCTTCTCTCTCTGTGGTGTGTGAAAAATAAATGACTTGTCTGACGGCATTCAAAGTTGCTTTAAATTAAGGTGGACAGGTGTTTTTTGCTGGGTGGCATGAAAGATGAGAAGAAACTTCTCAAACTAAACTTCTTATTTCTCCTCAAGTAGTGAGAGACGGCTCTAATGAAGACGGGAGGAAATGCACATTTTCTTTCATACAAAGAAGATTTAAAAAAATGCAAGCACCGGTAATTACCGTACTTAAAATTTTCACATATTCAAAAAGTATTTAATTTGATGCTTCTTGTGAAAATAAAATCCGTAACACTTTACAATAAGGTACACAAAATTTGCTTAACTACTGGGGAACGCCTCAGGAACAAATCAGGAGCTAATGGATTGTTAACCAGTACTTAGTGGGGAACACACAGTCAAGCCTTATCAGGAGACTACTGGTTTGTTACCTTGTAAATGAAGATGGACTAATCAACAACTAATGGGTAGTTAAGGAAACCAAAGATGAACGAATCAGGAGCTAATGTGGAGTTAACCAATAGGTTTACAAAAGAGAAAATGCAATAAAATCAGTAATCACTATGAAACAGGTTTTTGACAATTACGAGCTGTGACCTCACTGGTGCAGGGTTTATTCAGAACCAACATGGAGATTTTCTCCTCTGTTTATGTTGTAACAAACCAGTAGTCCCCTAATAAGGCTTGGCTTTGTGTTCCCCAGTAAGTGCTGGTTAACTACCCATTAGCTCCTGATTCGTTCCTGAGGCGTTCGTAGCTAAGCAAATTTTGTGTACCTTATTGTAAGGTGTTACCATAAAGTCAAACGCCTTAAACCAAAATTAGCAGCTTTAACATGAAAATGAAATTAGGTTTGTAGCTCAGTAGATGCAACAGAAGCAAAAGTGAAACAGCATTTTCTGCAGAGATGCAGCATGAATGCTGAACCTGAAACAGAGTTGCTGAATCTAAAAGCAGAACATTAACTAAAAGCCAGCTGTAGTGAAGAGCTAGCTGAAAGTAGCAAACCACAAGTTAAGAGTGGCAAAACGCTAAATAAAAGCAGCAAAATGCTAAATAAAAGTAGCAGAATGTTAGCTAAAAGCTTAAAGTAGCAAAGGGCTAGCTGAAAGCTAAAGTAGCGAATAACTCAAAGCTACTAGTAAAAGAGCAACTTAAAAGCTAAAAGTAGCAAAGCACCCTGAGGAGAGTAGTGTCAGTGCTTCTCTGGCTACTTTCCCAGCTTGCACTAATTCGTTCAATCTTTAATTGTACAGGTTAATCTCAATGAGTCACGAGGACTCTTGTTAAAAAGAGAACACTGATGAGGTACAGACAACAATAGACAATCATATAAAAGCATATAAAATGAAAAGTAAATAGAAGAAACTATGTATAAAAATAGAAACAAAAGCAGCTACATTATAAAGTGATATAAAATACTAAAAACAGGAACATGTCTGCAATGGGTTTTGCCAGTTGTTTAAAGTGGTCAAAGTGGACAACTTTAGATCTTTTTGCAAGATATTTCAGGAAACAGGAGCAGAGTGAGAGAAGGCCCTTTAGTTCAGTTCTCACTGAGGGAACACTGCAGGTAATGATGTCTTGAGAGCGCACGCTGTAGCTGCACTCACACAGTGACATGTAGGAGGAGATGTATGAAGGAACAGACCAAGAAGTGATTTAAAGATGAAAATGTACCAGTGAGAGAGTCTGCGTGAAGTTAATGACGACCAGTTAACCAGTGAATACAGGGTGCAGTGATGGGTACGATAGTTATGAATCTTAGTGCACAGTGATAAATGGTAAATGGACTGTACTTATATAGTGCTTTTCTATCAAGATACTCAGAGCTCTTTATACTACAAAGTACAATCTGTGCCCTCATTTACCCATCTACTAGATCTATAAAGAAACTTTGACTTTTGAGACAAAGAATAATCAGTGCTTTATCACGTTCATACACTGATGGGACACACAATGAGGGGTTCAGTGTCTTGCCCAGGGACACTTCGACATGTGACTGCTGGTGGAATCGAACCCCCAACTTTTGCATTAGAGGACTGCTCTAGCCACTCAGCCACAACTGTCCCCACAGCCTATGTTGGATGCTGGGATAAGACAGCATCCAACAGCTGCAAGATGCTTGCAGGAGCATTCACGTAAATGATAATAAAAACTATTACTGAACTCACTATTAGTGCACAGACAGGAAGTGGATGTAACATTTTACATGTGAAAGGAAGCGTTTGACCTCGTCAGATAATTAAAAACAGAAGATTTCATAAGTTCTCGCATACAGTTCTATTCAGAGTTAGAACTCTGCTGCAACCTGTCTTTTCTCTACAACAGACATGGAGGACATGAGGGTCAGAGCTTAATGAGGACCTGTGATGATTCATGAGAAGTTTCAGATGACAATCAACAAGAACAGGACAGTCCCAAGGAGGAACACTTTTGTTAGATGTGCTTTTATTTTAATTAAAGGGCTTTCATCGTGTGTACCTCAGAAATTAATCCTACACAACCTGGATGACTTTGTTCCAAAAAAAAAATTACTGGGTACATGATATTTTCTGAACTGACAGCAGTAATTCAACAGAAATCTGTTCCAAGACCTTCATTCTTTCCACCAAATGAAATCCTCTGCTGATGTCTGCAGCCATGCTTGACTCAAATGATTTTAAAATAAAGATTTTGAGACAAAATGACATTTAACACAGATCTGAGATCAGATCTCTTACTACCAGAGGAAACTGATGTTAAAAAAATGCAGCTACATCATGCGTTTCTTTGTGCTGACTGAAGAGTTTTAAAAGGAAACTCTAAAAATTAGCATCTCGAGAACCACTTTCTTCTTCTGGGTTTAGGTTCTGATGGCCAGCGACTCTTAAAAAATTACTATGATGTTAAATTTAATATTTGTCACTTCTTCAGTGTCCAACAGGATGCAACAGGATGTACAGGAACTTAGTGCCATCTGGTGGGAATTCACAGCTATGAAGTAATTAGATAACAGAATTTATCATTTAAAACAGACTTACATATATCTATGTATCTATCTATCTGTAGTATATATATATATATATATATATATATATATATATATATATATACAGTGCCTTGCGAAAGTATTCAGCCCCCTTGAACTTTTCAACCTTTTGCCACATTTCAGGCTTCAAACATAAAGATATAAAATTTAAATTTTTTGTGAAGAATCAACAACAAGTGGGACACAGTCATAAAGTGGAAGGAAATTTATTGGATGCGTCAAACTTTTTTAACAAATAAAAAACTGAAAAGTGGGGCGTGCAATATTATTCGGCCCCCTTGCGTTAATACTTTGTAGCGACGCCTTTTGCTGCAGTTCCAGCTGCAAGTCTCTTGGGGTTTGTCTCTATCAGTTTTACACATGGAGACACTGAACATTCTTTCTTGCAAAACAGCTCGAGCTCAGTGAGGTTGGATGGAGAGCGTTTGTGAACAGCAGTCTTCAGCTCTTTCCATAGATTCTCGATTGGATTCAGGTCTGGACTTTGACTTGGCCATTCCAACACCTGGATACGTTTATTTGTGAACCATTCTATTGTAGATTGGGATTTATGTTTTGGATCATTGTCTTGTTGGAAGATAAATCTCCGTCCCAGTCTCAGGTCTCTTGCAGACTCAAACAGGTTTTCTTCCAGAATGGTCCTGTATTTGGCCCCATCCATCTTCTCATCAATTCTGACCATCTTCCCTGTCCCTGCTGATAAAAAGCAGGCCCAAACCATCATGCTGCCACGACCATGTTTGACAGTGGGGATGGTGTGTTCAGGGTGATGAGCTGTGTTGCTTTTACGCCAAACACATCGTTTTGCATTGTGGCCAAACAGTTAGATTTTGGTTTCATCTGACCAGAGCACCTTCTTCCACATGTTTGGTGTGTCTCCCAGGTGCTTGTGGCAAACTTTAAACAACACTTTTTATGGATATCTTTGAGAAATGGCTTTCTTCTTGCCGCTCTTCCATAAAGGCCAGATTTGTGCAGTGTACGACTGATTCTTGTCCTATGGACAGACTCTCCCACCTCAGCTGTAGATCTCTGCAGTTCATCCAGAGTGATCATGGGCCTCTTGGCTGCATCTCTGATCAGTCTTCTCCTTGTTCCAGATGAGTTTAGAGGGACGGCCGGGTCTTGGTAGATTTACAGTGGTCTGATACTCCTTCCATTTCAATATGATTGCTTGCACAGTGCTCCTTGGAATGTTTAAAGCTTGGGAAATCTTTTTGTATCCAAATCCGGCTTTAAACTTCTCCACAACAGTATCTCGGACCTGCCTGGTGTGTTCCTTGGTCTTCATGATGTTCTCTGCGCTTTGAACAGAACCCTGAGACTATCACAGAGCAGGTGCATTTATACGGAGACTTGATTACACACAGGTGGATTCTATTTATCATCATCAGTCATTTGGGACAACACTGGATCATTCATAGATCCTCACTGAACTTCTGGAGTGAGTTTGCTGCACTGAAAGTAAAGGGGACGAATAATATTGCACGCCCCACTTTTCAGTTTTTTATTTGTTAAAAAAGTTTGACACTCCAATACATTTCAATCCACTTCACGATTGTGTCCCACTTGTTGATTCTTCACAAAAATTTTTTAAATTTTATCTTTATGTTGGAAGCCTGAAATGTGGCAAAAGGTTGAAAAGTTCAAGGGGGCCGAATACTTTCACAAGGCACTGTATGCGCGTGTGTGTTAGACCTAAAGAAAATAATTTCCACTTTAGCTTCAAAACACGACATGAACAGTAACTTATTGTTTTTATTAGCCAAGTGATAAAACACTCCAAAAAAATGCAGCACATTATAACAAGGTGAAATTTAATTTGATAAACAATAAAACAGATGTTCTGTGTTTCAGGGGAAAGCTGGTTTTAATACAGAATGCACCTCATTGTTTTGCCACTCAGTAACAACTGATTCCTTCACCATTCAGCGTAATGTTCACAACTTCCCCATCAGGTGATTTTCCACGGTCCAACAAAAATTCCCAAAGTAAAAAAAGGATCAAAGTACAAATTGAAGTTTTAACATGACCTATAAACCAAAATGTGCCCAAACAACATGTCTAAATATCTTACATCCTTATAATTCTGCTTTCTCAAAGTTATCATTTTTTCAGGCCTGAAACATCCACATGAATGACGACATGACATTTGTCCACACAAGTTCCCAAAAAATACATGTTAGGATTCCAAGTCCAAAAATAGAGGCCACAATTGTTAAACAACTCAGATCGTCTCTAAAAACTTAGCAATAAAATACTTCTGATTGAAATAAGTGATTTACTTTAAATCAAAACTGACAATTTTGAAGCTTTAACTTCATGTTTGTCACGTTTTTGACAACACTGATCATTGAGCTTAAGATCTGATCAAGACTACTTTCAGTAAAAACATTGGTTTTTATTTCTTATCATCCATGTCTCATTTCACAAGGAAGAAGAGAGAAGAATCTTACACACAAGTTCAACAAATTTTTGGTTTTAGGTTTACATTGTGCATCACAGCTCATCTTCAAATTCTAATAATGTTGTCAGTAACACGTTCCCATTGCCCCCCCCCCATTTGTCCTAGCCTTGCATGTTGCTGCTCCTGTCCCGAGGGACACGGCCCATAGTAAAGAAGTCTAGGTTCGGCTTCATGTCGGTAAGATGAGCCAGACGGTTGGACATGGCAAAGAAAGCAGTGATTGCTGCAATATCCCAGGCATCCTCGCGGTCAAAGCCAACCTTCTCCAGAGCCTGGAAGTGCTCATCTGTGATGACGTCACAGCGGCACACAGCCATCGCAAAGTCCAGCATGGCTTTCTCCCGAGGGGTGAGATCTGCTGTCTTGTAGTTAACAATGACCTGAGAGCAAGGAGAGAATTTAATAAGGAAAAAAGATGTCTGGTTACAGAATGTGTTGCAAAGGAATTCATAAATCATCAAATTTGCACATCATTTATAGAACCCGACTGATATATCAGTTGGGCCTAGGGGTGGGCGATATAGCTCAAATATAATATCGTGATATTTCAAAGCATTCTGACGATAACGATAAATTTTGTGATATATATATATAAAAAAAAAAAACAACAACAACCCAGAAATCAGTTATTCATTTGACAAGATTAACTTCACATGTTGCTTTGCGTTGCAGTATATAATTTTTTTAAAGGGTTAATTTTACTGAAATTACTTTATTTAGTAAAGTATTCAGTCTCCAAGTATAAAAATAAAAAAGATCCTTCTGTTATTTAGATTGAAAAAGTCTGCACAAAATATAGATCAATAAATCCACCACAAAAACTAAAGTGCAGGTGAAGTTTCCCAAAATAACTAAATAAAATGAAGTTTAAGATCAGTTGAGCATGAATGTAACGTACAACAAAAAATGTGTTGCCTTTCAATGAGCTAGAACTTGCAAAACTTGACAAAGCATCCAGCTGACCCTGAAGTGTGTGGTGTTTCAGCTTCCTCTGTTCCTGCAGGAATGATTCATTTCTCTGATGCCCTGTCTTTGATCACCTGCCTGTTTTCTTGGTCCATGGACTGTGGAAATCGTTTCTACCGTATATATCGCGCATTCCTACATCACGCCAAATTTTATACAATTTAAGGGAGACTAGAATCACAGAAAGAAAGAAAAAACAATAAAACCATGACATTCTGATGTGAATCAGACCAGTTTTGTGGAGTTCTTCAACTCAGCGATAGCTTTAATTCAATTCAAAAATACTTTATTAATCCCAAAGGGAAATTATTTTGTTGTTATAACTCGTTATCCTCATTTCATTAAGAGATGTTATAGATACTGATGGCTGTAGAAAGGAAGGATCTCTTGTAAAGATCCATCTCACAGTGGATCCTAAGAAACTGGCTGCAGATGCCGTCCGATCCGTCCACCCAGACTCTGCTGGCCTCTCGTTTCCCCTGGACTGTAGGACCGCCTGAATGCCGGGCAGAACTCCTCCCAGAGCGATGGCCACTCCTCCCAGCAGTCTGCCGAGCTCCTCATAGCTGTGGACAGTCAACTGTAGGTGCTGAGGGACGATTCTGTCCTTCCGCTGTCGTGAGTCATGTTTCCTGCTAGTTCCAGGATCTCAGTGGTCAGGCACTCGAGCACAGCTGGCAGGTAGATGAGAATGCGTCCACATAACATCCTTTCCAACTCACTTGAGAGTTGGGGCCATAGTTGAGATATTATTTGAGCTTTTGAGATGTTAATCAGCTGCTGTTGTTGTAGAAAACAGCCTTGTTGCCATGGTTATGCATCATAACAAATGTCCAAAACTTAAAAAGTTTCAGTAAAAATCCTTCCAGCTGCACAGCAGCCGATACCAGAGGAAACAATCATCCAAAAAATGTGATTTACATCCAGAAAACCAGGAATTAAAGTTTCCAAAAGCAAAATCTCAGAATGAAAGTAACAGAGCTGCTCCAACATGCAGCCACCTTGAGCGGCGCAATTCTAGAACTAGAATTCTAAGTTGAACTAGAATTCTTCTAGAATTTCTAGAATTTATCATCCAAAACAATATTTAGTCACTCATTCTCCAATATGATCGTTTTTCATTTTGAATAGAAATGAGCTTAATGAAAGAAACATTACATTTACTCATCTCATTGAAATATTTCCAGCTGATGCGGTGCACACGTGGAGAGAAGGTGAAAAATGCAATTGTTTTGAAGATTAGCGTTAACGTTAGCATTGCCATGTCCTCTGCTAGTGTTGATCCACTGTTTATTTTTGTTGTTTTTTTTTAAGTCCACAGTCAACGCAGCATCTACCAGGACATTTTAGAGACTTCATGCTTCCTTCTGCTGATGAGCTTTATGGAGATGCTGATTTCATTTTCCAGCAGGACTTGGCTCCCGCCCACACTGACAAAGGTACCAAAAGCTGGCTGTGGAATATTCTAATTTTCTGAGACACTGAGTTTTGTTTTTTCTTCATCTGGAAGCCATGATCATCAAAATCACAAGAATTAAAGGCTCTATGTGTAATAAATCTATGCACCGGTAATACACGAGTTTCACTTTTGGAAATGATTGACAAAAAAAAATCAAATGTTTTCATGACATTCTAATTTTTTTAGCTGCACCTGTATTTGGTCTTACGGATCATACCTGCTCAGACAGACTGAGTTTCTTGGAGTAGATGCGGTGCAGCGCACTGTGGGACACCACACAGTAAGGACACTTGTTGTGAGTGCTGGTTACGACTACTATCAGCTCACGGTCTGCCTTGGTTAACTGGCCTGTAAGACAAAAACAAGGAGCAAAATAAGAAAAAAAAAGTCTTAAAACATCAAAGTGCAAGGCATCAAAGCTGTTGTGACCTAAACACACGTTTCTGTATAGAGTAACATAAAAGTATTTAGTGAAGAAATGCCACCTGCTGGCTTTAATGCCAGAGTTTCAAACTAAAATCATCTCTCTGTTATTAGCTATGTTTACATGCGCAGAATTCTTTGACCGGATTGAAATGTGTACTGTTTGAATAATTCAAATGTATTGTTTACATGGGCACAATCTGTTCATGACGAGCATTTACATGCAGCGGGCTTTGTTCTGAACAGCAGTACTGACATGCGCAGAGTGGTAAACTTTCCTTAAAAAAAACACAGAAGAAGAATCCAAAAAAGTTCAATCTGGTCCTCTGGACATTCAAAAAAAACAAAAAACAAAACAAAGCAAAAAAATATAGAAACGTTTCGTCTCTCATCCGAGAGACTTCCTCAGTCTGAGGTGCTGTATTCAGCTCAGTCTCTTAAATAGCACCTTCTCAGAGTGGATCAACCAGTTTGCTGCTGACAACCAAAACCAGCTGATCACATGCTCAAGAAGGACCATCAGCCTAACAATGGATCATGGGCACACTGATGGCTGTTTACTGTTCACATGGGCTGAGTGATACTAGCAATCACAGCATTGTAAGAGGGGGACAGTTGAACCCGGAGGCCTCCACCCCTGTTTAACGATGGACGATTTCTTTTCACAAAGATGGCCTCCTTTACTCCTCTCTCAAACCATCGTGCCTCTCTATCCAGGATGTGCACATCTTCATCCCTGAAAGAGTGACCGCTGGCTTGGAGATGAGTGTAGACCGCAGAGTCCTGGCCTGATCCTGGCCTTATCAACATCATCAGGCCAGGACTCTGCAGTCTACACTCATCTCCAAG